AACAAGATTGAACATGGCGTCTTATCTCGTACATGTGCATTTCTTTCGCTTGGAAATATATATAAGAATTGGTCTTTTTAGTTAAACTTCTTGCACAAATCATCTCTTTCTTCTTTTTTCTCTCTATGTGCGTTGCAGAAAAAGTTGAAAGCTAAACCATGCACAGAGAGAGAGAGAGAGAGAGAGAGAGAGAGAGAGGGGGGGGGGGAAGGAATTGAGCTAAAAAGGACACAGCAAGTTTATTTCTGTAATTATTAATGCAAATTTTATTATATAAGGATAATGAAACTTACGTTAAGAATTATAGAATAGTCCTGCAGGTCTGTATAAATAGTTCTTTATATAAATGCAGTGTGCATTGAATAGTTTTTGGAAATTTTTTGAAGCGTGATAAAACTCTGAAATATATTAGGCATTAATTATATGAGAAAAATTAATTTTAAATTTGGCTTTTTATTCAGTACTTATTTTATTTGCTTTTTCCCTTGGATTGCATTAGATATAGCTTTGTACCTCTGTGTGTAAACACTACATGCTGTACTACACTGGAGTAGTGCACACCATAATATGCACACTACTTTATTATTGCGCTAAAATTCTACTGCCGGTTAATTTGCATTTTTCTTATAAAAATCTTAGTTTTTGGAAATTTTTTGAAGCGTGATAAAACTCTGAAATATATTAGGTATTACTTATATGAGACAAATTAATTTTAAATTTGGCTTTTTATTCAGTACTTATTTTATTTGCTTTTTCCCTTGGAATGCATTAGATATAGCTTTGTACCTCTGCGTGTAAACACTACATGCTGTACTACACTGGAGTAGTGCACACCATAGTATGTACACTACTTTATTATTGTGCTAAAATCCTACTGCCGGTTAATTTGCATTTTTCTTATAAATCTTAAATGTCACTCATACTAACTTTTTACCGTTCCTTTGAAATGATGGAAAATGATTGAAAAGGAAACACAGTACACCGAATGAATTCTTATCACCAGTCGTGGAAACACACTAGATTGAGTATTGCAACCAAAGAAAAACGCTATAAGTCTGTGATAATAATTAAACATTCGTCTTATATTTAGAAATTTGTGCTGTGATATGGATTTTTTTAAAAAAGAGTTTTACGTGCGTGTATTTATTACCAAAGAATGTGCAAAATAGTGGAAATTCTAACTACATGGTGAATACACAAGTTTCATAAATAATAAAAGTACAGTGCGGCGTCAATTTGTATGATTTTTTAAGTTTCCAGATTTATCATCTTGGTACACAGTGTGTGAAATTACATTTCAAGATTAAAAGAAAATAAATTCATACTTTCTGAAATGTATTGCTATTAGTAATTACTAATACTGTGTTCCAAGTAACACATACATTGAAAGAGTCAAATAGCAACATTTTATGCAACAGCACATACATTTAATGCAAATTTATTTTTTTTGTTTCCAGTATATTATGCAGCCCACTCACGCATAATACCTAGTCAGCACAAATTAATGTAACCGTAATGTCTGTGTTTGAATACACGTTTGGAAAGGACTGTGTGTGTGTGTGCGTGCGTGCGTGCGTGCGCGTGCGCGCGTGTGTGTGTGTGTGTGTGTGTGTGTTGAGTTGGGGAAAAAATCCTTTTACACATATATGTAAACTCTTCTCCAATATATTTGTTGCAATTATATCATCGAGCAAAGTTTCAGCTTTAAAAATCTGTTTTTTAATTGCGGTGATGATTTTTAACAGAGTTATGATTAAAATCAGAATGCTCCTTTACTTAACTTGCAAATAATTCAGGAACAAAAAATTGTAGGAACATTTTTAAACAACGATTTTGTAGAGAAAGCTTCAAGCTCTCATGATAGGCAACCAAAATTTTTTTGGACGTGTGAAAGACTTACAAAGTGAAAAGAAAATTTTTCATTTTTGTAGCTCATAGATTTTATATGTAAAAATTATCGAACTCACAGAAACTCAAGAAATATAGTAAGTAGAAATTTCGAAAGTAGAGATTTCAAACTTTAAAACCCTAAAATTGTAAATTTATATTTCGTTTATTTTTAATAAAGATATTGTAAAATAAACATCCTTTTATATATATGTAAAGAGACTTTCCCTAATCCAGTATATGTGTGCGTGCGTGTGTGTGTGTATCCCCCACAAATATGGCCGTAATATTCTTATTTATTTACTCATGATGCTAAAAGCCTTTTTAAGCGTTTTTATGTTGTATAAAAGTGTATCTGAGCGTTTAATATGAAAGCCTATGCAAGCGTTTTGTATAAAAGTTTGACATTTAAACTCTGCAAAACTTAAATCCAAACATATGAATATATAGAATATATTACAAAAGATTTTATTTTAACAAAATTAATTGTAATTGTGTATTTTAAGTCAAAGCGATTTATGTAATAACGATGTATGTAATAACGATGCGCCACACTTGCAATCTAGATACTTACAATCTCTCTTCTTAAGTCTCTTTACATTCACAAATCAATTCTTTTCGAATTGTATCATACACTGTTCACGCATTGTTTGAACGATAGTCAACCTTTTTGAATTATATTATAATTAATATAAAATAATAAGAATAGTAAGGCTAATAAGAGCTATTCGCTGTAATTAGTGCGATCATATATAAGATATGTTAAAGTGTGAATATTATATACTACGTATCGTATGTAGTTCCCCCCTTATCTTATATATAATCGCACTAATTACAGCGAATAGCTCTCATTAGCCTTACTATTCTTATTATTTGAAATTTTCGAGAGTCTTCTTTAATTGATATTGTTGAATATACGCTGGCTGCAAGAAGCGTTTGTTACTTTCAAAAATTATTATTTAAATAAAGAACTTTGTGAAGAATATCATTACGTCGACTTGCCAACAGAGGTCTATAGTTAATAGTGTCAATTCTTGCAAGTGCCGAATTACATGATTGTCTGTTTATATAGAACTTCTTTCTAACATCTCTCCCAGGCGTCTAAGGTAGGCTCCCACTACATTACCTTACTGATGAGTCTAGTAATGGAAACCGGGACGAAACGCCAACTCGTGATATTCTTCACAATTCTTATTTTTCATAGATTTAAATTTATTTCCACTTTAATATTATAATTTAAGAATTTAATATGTCTTTCAACATATTATTAAGATCCAATTTTAGATGCTATAAGCATCAAAAATTGTGATATTACTACGGTAGTTAATTAGATTTGAATTTTAAGTTCGACGGATGTTCGGCGCGCAAAAGGGGGGGAACTACATACGTAGTATATAATATTCACACTTTAACATATCTTATATATGCTCGCACTAATTACAGCGAATAGTTCTCATTAGCCTTACTATTCTTATTTGAAATTTTCGAGAGTCTTCTTTAATTGATATTGATAATTAATATATATATCATTAATATGTATATATATCTAATTAAAATATACATCATTAATATATATATCTAATTAATATATATATCATTCTTAGATGTTGTATACAGTGGTAATATTGTAAATCTATAAATATATCTAAAAAAATTATTTTAATTTTTTAAATTAATTGTATATAGTAGTTATATCTATATAAAGAAAAACCATCTTCAAAACACCGAAAATATTGCTTTTGTATGACAAACAGCGCTGCAGAGTGCTGTGTGTGAAAGGGGTTGATGGATCAATATCCATCTCTTACACCCGTAGTATTACCATGATTAGCTATGGCTTTAGTGGAAAAGTTTTTACGTTTATTACGACGAAAACTAGGGATATCACTTACATGCGTACGTTTAATGCGACTGCGTATATTGATATACATGGTGTTCTGCATATATCGTGTAATAAACGTGTAAAATGTACACAGGATGTTTTTTTTTTTTTTTCAAAATTATGTGGTAATGTTTTGGGACATACAATCATGTCACAAATGAAACAGATTCGTGCTTGTTGCGAAATCGATTGTAATTACTTGATTTAAATTACACACGATAAACAGTTACCTTAATTTTTAAAAAGCAAAAGTCGCACCAGTCTTACGAATTAGAAATATTTTTATAAAGCAATACCGCAGAATTGAGTTCGATTAAATCATTTTATTTTAAGATATAAGAGTATTCAATGCGTTATGGTTCACCCTGTATGCAATACGAACAATGGCGGTGACAAAGCGTGCAGAATCGTTGGAAAATAATCGATCGTCAGTAAGGTGTGCGCGGTTCAAGTGCGGGGCATCGTCATTCAGTCCCTTTGAAGAAGATTGGACGCTCGCCAATAGACGTTCCCAGCATTTCGACTCGGTGCAAACGTCGGAGAAGTTTTGCAAAAATTTGAGTGAAACGCGGATGCCTGCATTGGACTTTGAAGAAGCTGTAATAACTGCGCGTTTTTCGGTTGTTATCCTACAAGAGTGGAAAAGAGAAAGGGTGGAGAAGAGAAAGAGAAAAAGAGAGAAATATTATTGAATGCAGAATACGTGTGATCGTCTGATCGCCGTGCGCGATGAATAAATAAATAAATTAACTAGTAATTTTTTGAACATGGCCGGAGACACTACCGCGTCTCCTGATATAAGCAATTTAATAATGTACAATTCATCAAACACGAACGCAGTGCGAGCGGTGTGACTGATTCTAACAATTAAGGATTTCGCACCATTGGGGATTGTGATATTAACTATCCATATTAACAGTGATTATTAGCATTTCTACGATATATATTCATCAATCGCACTTCTGATTTAATCGATACACTGATTCAATGAAAGATCGAAATTTTTCGGAAAATGTAAATAGAGTGAAAAACTGTGTCCTTTGCCGCTTCGTTAATGATTGTGAACGCAAATTGCGGCGCATTTTATAATGAACTATGATAAGTATAGACGGATTAACGCAACAGCATTAATCGGTGGAAAGTTCTTAAGCTTGTATTTACGCCGCAATCTGAAGTATCTGAAATATCTGCCGGCTTACCGAGGAATCGAAATATCGGAATAAAGCCAACGGCATACATATATGTATATTCGAAGTATTACTCAGGACTCTTCGTAGAAGATCATGATTGTTGATGACAATATTTTAAATGTCTTTCTAATGCTTCGCGCGTTAATAACGGAAGAACATGTGTATTTACTCTCATCCGACGAATGAAGATAAATAATTAATAACGAAATCACTCAACCATGTCGCGCCCTCGTCCGCACGCGTGCGCGCAAGATCCGATAGTTCGAATTTCACATGCAGTTACAACGACAATCATGTCGACGTGAGTGGATTCACGAAATATATAAAATTCACAAAAATTATTAGGCGTAAGATTCCGTCCGACGCGACGATCGAAAACAATTCATTTATCTTGTGTATTTACGAGAATCGGTGCGTGCAGAATATTGATGTAGAATAAGATGGCGACGTGCTTGTTTTGGAGTTTAATGATAATTCTACAATGTGCTCTTTGTTTCCTGTTTCTTGCCGTTTGTCTCTTGTTCAAAAGGCAAGAAACAGGAAACAAAGAGCACATTGTAGAATTACCATTAAGCTCCAATGGCTCTAGCTCTTGCTCTTGGTCTTGCTCTTGCGCGCAAATATACACTTCGAAATATTGTATCTATAATTCGATTTCGACGCATAGGTACTTCTCTTGCGAATAGAAATAAAAAGAAGAGTTTCGAGAATTCGGTTGATTCCGTCTAATGATAATTCTATAATGTGGTCTTTCTTTCCTGTTTCTTGCTGTTTGTCCCTTGTTCACTCATGCCTTTTTGACCAAAAAGTAAGAGACAAACAGCAAGAAACAGGAAACAAAGAGCACGTTGTAGAATTACCATAACGGTTATACATAAACGAATGAAACAAATACAACGGTAATTGTATATGTTATAAAAAAACGACGTGTTTCTTTGTCTAATCATAGATTTATCGAAAACTGGGAACAAGATGGACGAATACGACAAAAAGTTTGCAGAGATGCAAAAGTACATTCCATTCCTGGAAGTAATGATCGAGAGAGTAACGATGCAGAATGCTAAGGACAAAGACAATTCAACAAGGGAAGTTCAACTACAGAAAATGCAAAGTCTGCACGGAATTCTGTTAGACAGCAAGCGAAAGTACGTTGAACGAAAATTCATATTATAATAGATTACTTACAAATAAGAAACATAATCAACTGACCTTCTCCGATTTTAATTAACTTTTATATGGATATGTTAAAATATAAACAAAAATAAGAGATATGTGTTTTTTTATACATGCTAAATTGTACATTAAGGGAGTAAAAATCTTACTTTATAATAATTATAAAAAATTTGTTTAAACAAAATGACTTTTAAAAAATTTATAATACAATAAAAACAAATTTTTTATAATTATTATACAATATTTCCCTTGAAGCCATTTGAGTTTTATTAAAATTTTTAAGTTTTATTTTTTTTCTTTTGTAATTTCGATAATATATGTTTATTCTAAAAGAAAAAAATTAATTTTTTAAGGGAAATTTTTCACCTTTTAACGTATACGATTCAACATATATAAGAAAACGTTTCTTTTATTTTTGTCTACGTTTCAACATATCAAAAATTAATTAAAATTAGAAGGAGTCAGTTGGTTTTATTCTCTTGTTAAATTATATATACCCTCGATTGTATGAATTTATTGATAAAAAATGTATGATACATTAAAAATATATTGTTACAACTATTTGATTATTAATTACAATATTATTGATGAATTAGATTGAAGATTGAGACGCTGCAGCGATGCGAGAATGTTTTACAAAAACTGCACAATAAAGTAGAAAAGGTAAATATGCTGACAAATGTATTATTTCGTTACTCATGAAAATTGATTTTTGTTAATGTTGTCTACTGAATAAGTTTGTGGAACTACAGAATGTCTTAAAAATTTTAAAACAGTATTTTGCTAAATGTTTGTATTATAATTATGTATACTTATGTCTTGGGTTTTTGGAAAAGCGAACATTAGATTAGATAACATTATAGCACTTTGCTCACCCGTATTTTATTCTTACTGTTTTGTCTTGTTTTGTATTGTTATTTATATTCTATTTTTTTGTGTATGTGTTACTATTTATTTGTATTGCTCAAAACAGTTATAATAGGTCGTTTATTTAAAAATCTTTTTGAACAAATTCAACTTTATTTTTGTCAAAAAAGATTGAGAAGATGTCAAAGACTAAAATCATTTTCTGTTACATCATTTTTATATAAAATAATATATATTACTAGTATTTATAAAATAATATATTAGATGAAAGTTGGTGATACTGATATAGATCTCCTAAAGAGATATTCCCCCATTTCTTGAAAACTAACACTATTGCACTTTATCAATATTAATAAAAATTTGATACGTTTAGATGATTAAGGGGTCACCAGGGTGACGAGTTTAAAAAATTGATTTTTTTAATTGCATTTTTGTAATGCTTGGAGTCTTAAAAATATGTCTCTAGAATATAACATGGTCAGATGCCGCTAGGACATTCAGCAGTCCCTTTGATCTGCTTGTAGTCAGTTTTACCGGTATTCTTTTGTTTCCTGTGTGCTTCAGTCGTGAACAATTCATATGCACCCGGATTGGACGCACTTTGATTTGTTATGAAATTTTATTTTTATATATAAACTAATCGGTAAAACTTTAAACATGTTTTTCTTGAAACCACATTTTCGTAACTGGGCGCTCATATCTCGGCAAATTTTTATCCGAATGATTTGAATTTTGGACAGAATGTTTATAACGAAATTGTCTTCAGTTGCACGTACGAACTTTTCAATTGAATTATTAGTTTTTGAAAAACAATTAAAAAGATAACGATTTTTTGCCGCAAAATCGTGACCGTTTTTTTAAAACAGCGCTATTTTGTCTAAAATTATTTTATCAAAAATTCCGTACGTGCAACTGAAACTACACTCATATACTTTAAAATAAAATAAAAAAAAATTATTTCAGAGCTCCCAATCAGACGCAGACGAGCGCCCGTGCACCCATGTTTTTTCAGACGAGGTGCACATCACTGAAGCTACAAATATTAATATTATTTAATGAATTTTTTAAATTAATTTCGTAAATGGATGTACTTCACATATATAAAAACAATAATTCATACAAGCTATCAGTTTAAAAAAAAAATTCACAAGAAGAGCCTTTTTTTTCGACCGTCACCCTAGTGTTCCCCCTTAAAGAAGTAAAAACTCATAACTTATACATTTGTGGTTTGTTTCTATACATAATCAATTAAAAACTAATTCTACAAAAAATAAAATTCTTACGATTTTCTTTTGCAAATTGCGTAGTTTAAATGATAATTACATCGTTTTATATGTTTGTAGTTTCCTAAAATTCCATTTTATTTTTTTAATTATTGTTGCGCGTAATACATAATAAATTTAAATATAAATAAAATTAGGATGCAACATAAATTTGCACACTTGTCTGTAAGATCAAGCTAACTTAATCTTTAGAATATCGCGTTATAGTGTTAAACAATTGTATCTGAGCTTAAAGCAGTCGTGTATATTGCAAAAGTCTTAAGAAAACTATCGTGTTAAATATTTGTGTCTTACAGGACAGCGTATAAATCAACGTAAAACATATAAATCAACAAAGAAACATTTCATATTGAAGTGAAAAGATTCTAGAAAATCTTTTTTATATACATTCACTTATAGGTATTTTGTACGGATGACTTCTGTGAAAGAAAACCAATAGGAATATATGGTATTACTATCGCTATCGTTTCAGTTTTTAAGACCCATTTTTGTCAGATGCTTATATTTATCAGTTTTATTTATTACAGAATTGCAAACGGTATTATAAAAATTGCTGTATTATTTATCATAATAGTAGACTGCCTCTTAGTTTTATATTTCTACAGTTGTATTTTTAGCTCTTGTTTAAGAGATATTGTCCAAAAACAAAGTAGATATGTCGTTATCGCCAACTTTTCTCTATATAATAAATTATATAACATTATATATATATATATATATATACATATATATATATATCTTGCACAACCGCAAATGCGTTTAAAACAAATGACTATTTAATTGTTCTGAATAGTGTATTTTGTACACTGCCATTCCATGTCACTTTTGATAATGCATGAAACAGTGAAATAAGTACATGAATTCGATTTGTTTTATAGTTATATTTTATAGTGTAAATTGAATATTTACTTTGGAATTTTATGATATTCTTGCCAATTTGTAGTAGATATTATGAAGAATCTAGGATTGTGTGTTTTGCATATTTGTTTTAAAGGATACAATTTTAAAAGCATACGTTCTTGTTATTTGACAAAATTCCGTGTAGACTTTACATTTTAAAAGTTCCACACATAAAATACATACGCTACACATATTTTTCTTTTTCTTTTGATTCTATTATACTACTTATTGTAGTAATCGCTTATTTGATCCTTGATTCTTGTAATATTATTTTCGTTGCTTTCTCGTATTATATTTTCAGGCTGTCGTAGTGCATGTTTGATGTTTGATATTTTAATTATTCTAATTCAACTTGAGTTTCAGGGAAATGGATCCGGTTTACAATTACCATTTAAACAAAACGAGGACTTCATTTCGCAACCTTCGACGTAAGTGTTATGTGTAATATATTGTTACCTACAAAAAAAATTGCAAGAAAGTGCAAATAAATGCAATAAGTCTATGTTAAAGTTAAATAATATAATAAGATTATTGTAATAATAATGATTTTCATGTTTAATTAAGCGAGGAAAATCTTATGTTCAGTCAAAGTGGATCTTAGTGTTAAAATACCTTTGTGTGAATTTATACATTGTAATTTTATAAAATTTCGCGATTCTGAAAAATTGTTTACAATCTTGAAATACAATCCTAGACACAGTACTAGAGTAGTAATATTACATATTGGCAAGCAATAATTCTTAAACATATGTAATAAATATTAATCGATAAATAAAAAAGTATTTTTATGGTTTTTATAGTTCATCGAAGAAAAAAAAATCAAATCGGAGCAATAAAATGGAATGGATAAACGCGGAGAATGATAAAGAATTCGAGCAAACGCCAGCGAGTCCAGATACTGTAAGATCTTCCAGTCCTGATTGCCAAATTCTACCTATAGTTATTCCCACGGAGCGTAACGTAGAATCGAAGAACCGAAATCGAAGACAACAAGAACAACGTCCCAAAGTAATACCAGTTATTACGCTTTCGGATTCAAAAACTATAACCATCTCGTCGCCATCAGATTCTAATCCGGACGAGATTACATTTACTGAATGGGATATGTTGGAAGAATCGGAAAGGCATAACGCAAGGAATAGAGGAAATCGACAACCGTCATTACCAGTTGCTATTAGTAACGATGTAACGACCGCTGCAAAGTTAATCAGTAACAGTCTGCCACATAAAGTCAGCGACAGCAGAAATTATGCGTTAGATCCGCAAGACATACCGACTGTTCCAGTACCTTCTCTTGGTGGTTCTAGACGATTGTCCTCAGTTTTAGAGAAAAATAAGCTCAATTTAGAGATAATGACTAGTTGCTCTAGAACAGAATCGCCCGTGAACGTTCCTGAAGTAAGACTTAATTCTCCTGATCCTGAAATAATGCTTGCTAAATCTAAACCTACATCGCCCAGATCGAAAGACAGCAGTACGTTGAAGCAACCGTTAAAACCGCCATCGTCGATACCGCTTTTGTTTTCGCCGCCGCCTTTGTCTCATGAGCCTCCATTGTCTATGGAAGATCTGGCGGAATTGTTGAATGACGAAGACGATGGCGATAAGAGCAATAAAGTCAGTGAAAATGCCGCTAAACAAAAGAAGACGGACCAAATATCAAAGAATCTTTCAGTATCGGAGAAAGAGAAGCTTACTACTAAAAAAGGTTTGCAGCAGTCTGCAGGAGTTTTGCCTATGAAAACAATTTCATCGATCGGATCACCTCGTCAATCAAACGATTCTCACCGAATATCGGTATCACAAGCACTATTTTCTAAAACCAATTTTCAAGAACCACGTTATGCGGATAACTATGAAAGACATCCTCGTCAACGTGACATTTATTCTTATGAGAGCGCGAAAGATAAATCGATTACTATTTCTGAAGAAATCCCATCTCCGATACCAGTCATTCATAATACCGCGAGCAAATCAGATGAGAGAAACATTTCATTGTATCAGAGACGTTCCAGCGTACCAGCGGAAGGACGGAAGGATGCGAGTCTGCCTAGACCGGAGAACGAATTTGTGATAGATAATGACTATTATAATATGCACACTAATCAGATACATTGGGTTCCTCCCACTACCAATGATCAATTTGGCAGCAATCAGTGGACACCTTCCTCTTATGGCGGAATGACCAATGCACCTCTGCAACCCACTCAACATCCTTTTCAACGTCCGGTGGAATCGCAATTTAGACAAAATCAGTTTCCGCCAACTCTACCCGCTGCTGCTTCTAGACCATTGATCAATCCCACGGTGCGACCAGACATGAGTCACATGGTAAGACCAGAAAATATTCGAGAAGATATACCTCCTTTGATGCCTTCCGGATATCCGTTGCAATACAGAGGCTTTCAAATAAATCAAGGATCTTATGATCCAAGCTTTCCTGTCGGCAGACCGACGGAATATCCCCATGTAAGACCGACATGGGAAAATTCCGCCAATCCTTCTTACGAAAATGTGATTCCTTGTGGAATTCAAGTTGTGGAGAGTACCACAGGGACACATCCACGACCCAACACGCCTTGCCCTTGGGGTACGACAGCGCGTGATAGAGATCGGAGTAATATAAATCAGAGCAGATACTACGAGAGAAATAGGACAGAAGTGAGGCCCGGTTTTAATCGCGATGGCCGCCGATCTGATTGGTCGTGGGATAACCACTCTGATCGAGAAAATTTGAATCGTTTCCCGATTCGAGATCCACGAGTTCGTACGGAACACAACACGACAGGTGCCAGAGATCAGGCCAAAGAGACCGGTGTTTCTGCAAGAGATCCACGTCTTGCCAAAGATAAACACATCGTGAACACATCAACCAAGACCAAAGACAACGTTCTTAATGAAAGGGATCCTAGAAAACGGTTATTACCGACAAGTACAAAGACAGCAATATCGCTAACAAAGGAGAAACAAAAATCTCAGAAATCGCCCGAAAAAGAAAAGGACAAGCTTTTGAAAGATAGAATGCAGTCACCGCTGGAAAGTCTTTATGGTGTGATTGATACGAAGGCCAATCAGAATTCTGGCTTGCAAAAGTTCAAAATTCCGAAAATCAAACGACCAGAACCATTGCAGTTAAATCGAATCATTAACGAGACAAAGAAGAAAGTTGAAAGTGCTTCGTCTAAATCGTCGCGTACAAAGAGCAATAAAAGCAAAGAGCCAAATAAGAACAACAAATTGTATCCCAAGAGTAAGAGCAAAGACGTTGAGAGTACCGAAGTGAGTAGTAGTAGCGACGGTAATCATGCAACGGAAAATTCAGTTGAACAAGATAATATTGCAATGGAGAGGAACAGTTTTTCGTCATCTCTTGAAAAGTCTGACAAAAACGAGACGAGGATTGGCGAAGCAGACTCGGCGATGAGTAATTCCAAGTCCAGTCATATCGCGAAAAAGGGAAAGACGAAAGAATCAGAAGTGCACAAATCGTCGAAACCTAAGGAAGCGGTGACAAAGGAATGGATTGAGGCGCTAATCAAGGAGTCGTTTGAATCCGGTGAGGGCAAGAAACTAGTCGAACACGCGAAATTGATACAGAAGTTCGGGGAAGTGCTCAAGGCGAAAAACTTTAAGAAGATTAAGAAGATCATTGAGTCTGAATCCGAAAGTAATAGTAGCAGTAGTTCGGACAAGGATGAAACGGTCGAAGCGAAAAAGTCTCAAGTTAAGAAAAAGAGACGAGTGATAATGTCGGATAGCTCGGATGATGAATGTCTTGCAGAGAGGCTTAGTATCTTAAGTACCAACATTGACACGAATGATGAGAGAGAATCGACTTCAGCAATTCCTGCCATGGATCCTAAAAATTTGGAAGAAAATTTCAAGGCAACAACATTCATTGATAATTTGAGTAAAAAACTAACTGAAGATATTACCGCGAAGAAAAGTGATGATTTATTAGAGAGTCGTGACAAGGAGTGCGCTCAAGTAGAATATAAAAATAAGGATAAGCAATTAGAAAAGAGAAAGAATAAGAACGATCGATTAGAAAATTATAATGAAAATACTGATATTCAATCAGAAAGCGAAAAACAAATGAGTAGTAGATTAGGAGATAGTGGTAAAGAGAAGAAATCAATTAAAGATAATCAGGATAATCAGGTCGATCAAAGCATTCTATCAAAAGATAGTGCAGAAAATAGTATAGAATATCTGAGTCAGGATAATACAGAAAGTAATATAGAGCGTTTGGATCAAGATAAGGATTGGGCAACGCAATCTGTCGTTTCCGATATTGCAAACCAAGCTGAGGAAATTTCAATTGATAAACCAAAGGCAAAAACGAAGAGAAGAAATTCTCTGGAGATGTTGCAAGAGGATATCAGGGACATGTTTATTAGCGAGGGTGTAGTAACGGCGACAGGTCATCGAATGTGCCGATTGTCGAACTCTAAGAAAGAGGAAACATCGAGTACTGCTGAGAAGAAAATTGTAGAGTCCAATACTGAAACGAACGAGTTGGCAGCGAGTAACGCCAAGAGGAAGAGTTCAAAGTCTCGTAACGTTGAAGAGTCGAAATCAAAAGCTAAAAGCAAGGACACTAAACGGATGACTCGCAGTTTACACAAGAAATCTATTCAAAGTTCCGACAGTGAAGAGGATCAACCGTTAGCTCTGCGAACAGAGAAGTTGCTCAATATCACTACCAACACTTCGTCGAATGAAGAAGTGGCTTGCAGTGAAGAGAACTCTGATACAATTCGCAGATCTAAACGCGTTCTACAAGACCTTATTAAGGAACCACGAGTGGTTGTGGAGAAGGCGGATCTTACAAAGATAATGTTTGACAGCTCGTCTGATGAGAGTTTTGGCATAGACGTGTCCGAGTTAGCTGCGGCGGTGGACATTTCTCTTCGACCGGAGAAGCAATCTGATCAGGACTCGGTGGACACAGTGATTAGTTCGAGGCGACGGAGAAACGCCAACAGTACAGGTAAACAACAATGGAACTTGAAGTCAAAGAAGTCGTTTGCAATTACTGACGACAGAAGTGAAGATGGGAAATCGTCACTCACAGATGAGGAGAGTGTAATATCGGACATTTCTATGTCGAGTAATGCAACTGCCCGAAAAGGAACAAGCAGTGGCGCAGCTAGAACGACAGCTAGAGAGGAACTGTTGAGTAACATTCTGGTAGGATTGTTGCCGACAGCGGAGAAGAACACATCGGTCGATAAGGGTAACGACGAAGCGGAATTCGAGGAGGACGCGAATGATCCATTAGCTATCGAGCCGAACGTGAAAAAGTCTTTGGTGAAAAAGAAGAAAAAGAAATCTGGTTGGAAAATGGGCAGATTGACTACTAAAAAGAGAAAGAAGAAGACTACTTTGGTAGCTTCCTCGAAAACTAACGTTGAGAGCGGATCGAATACTTCAGCGGATGCTGTAGAAGCTGATACATCGCTCTTAAAAGATAAGGACCCTGTAACGATGGAGAAAACTCCTGAAAAGATTCTTGACGACGACCATGCGAATGTAGATTTTGCAGTGGAAGACAACGAGGTTAAACCACTTGTAAATATGGATAGCTTTGATGTAGATTCCAAAGACTTCAGCAACTTTACTACTTTATTAGAGTCTTTGGATACACGTGGAGAAACACCTGATGACTCGTTTCTTTCCGTCGAAGAGAGTAAACCGTTGATAAAAATGGAAATAAAAGAGGAAGTAAGTTCGAGTAGCGCTGATCTTACTGTGGCAAGTACCGCTACTGGAAACAAGTTTTTTAAGGAATCGCCAAAAATTGTTTACAATGAATTGATGACGGAGCTCTATCACAGAATAGATATCAAGCATCTGATCGATTATGCGTGGGTCGGTCAGGACAAATATAAATGCTTGCTATGCTTTTTCACCGGCAAAAACATCGTCCATCATTACAAGGTCAGTCATTCCGGAATGGAAGTGCTTATCTCGCGTCTCAAATTGACGGACGCCAAGACTGCGATTATGGACACCGAGTGTGATGTGACCACAATGGATACGAGTCAGATATGCAAGTTTCGTTGCAGATTCTGCTGTTTTGTTACGGAAGGTGCAGCGGACGTAGCACTCGAGGCATTCTACGAACACTGTACTACACACACGGGTGAATATAGGTTTCACTGCAACAATTGTTCTTACCAGGCAGTGGCCAAAGCATCCATGAAGACGCACTATTATAAGATATGTCGCAAGAATAAAACGTTCAACGAATCTGCGTCTGAAGACGTCATACCGAGAGAGAGTGGTATCTATGGCTACTTGTGTGGTGCTTGTAATTACGTACAACTAAAGCGACAGAATGTAGAGGCCCACGTTGCATTCTGGCACCGAGAGGAGCAGATGGATACCGAGATCTTGAAGATTAATATGTCGGCGATAACTGTCTCAGCGAAAGACGCTGCGAATAACAACGATGAGCAATCGCAACACGAATCGCCGTCCGTTAACGCGTCCGAGGAGTCTTACGCCGTAGAAACAAAGCCGCAGGTGCTTGAATTTGAAGCTATGGAGTGCACAGATCTATTAATGGATATTGATATCGCGAAGCTAATGGAGTCCGAGAGCAATAATGATAATATCAGTAAATGTATTTCATTTGAACAAAAAACGAATGAAGATATCCAAATCAAGGAGGAAAAAACGGAGGAAACTCCGACGAAACTGTCTCCAGCGGAACCGGAGAGCTCGTCGGTGAGTACCGGTAATCTAAGCGCATTTGTTTGTCCACCTGAATTGGAAAACAAGGAAATGGAGATACAGCGGGAGCGACAGAAGACGATGCAAGAGATCGCCAATAATATCGGTATCTTGTTAAAGAACATTTCTAAACCCGGTTTGTCTATAATAGACAAACTGCAGGATAAGATGCGCACGGACGCGGTGGTTGCAGCTAGTCCAGTTCCTGAATGTAACGCGTCAGCGGACGTTCCGGAAACAAATGAAAACCCTTTGTTGCCCGATTTTATGAATTCATCCTCTGCAGAGCCCTTGAAAACTGAGGACCCAATTAAGAAGGACATCCTTAGCCAGCAATCGAGCAGTCAAGGCAATCCTCCCCTTTCTTCTATGGAGGAACAATTGACTACCGAAAAATCAAAAGTAACAAACGATGCGGGTGACAAAGTGGACGTGAAAATCCGGGATCCTCTTACGATCATGGATCCATCTAAGGACAACGAGAGCGACGGCGAAAATAGCGACAACGAACGCTCGGCACCGATCTTCGATTCGGACTCCAGTAGCGAACAATCGGATTCCGAGCAGACTGACGTCAATATGATCCTGAAGGAGACCTCGAGTATGAATGTATCTTCATCACGGGACCCCATGTTAACGACGATACAGAGGCTGGCTGCGCAGCTTCAGAATGTGAAACCTTTGGAATCAGTACCACTCGAGCCAACGATCGATATTAAGAATATTAAGACAGAGATCAAGACTGAACCCGTGTCGCGGTTTCCAAAACCACCGGGCGTCGTACCGATCGCTAGTGTCAAGCGTTTGCTTGAAAAACAAAATGCTAAGTGTTCGGAGAAGAACGTGTCATCGAGTAAGAATGCCACTCCGCCCAAGAATTTTCTCAGATTTAGGCGACTCAGCGGCGATATGTTGTCTATGCCGATGCAGGTTTTGGATAATCAAGAAGATTTGCAAGAATTTAATACAGGTTGGTGATCCAAACAGTTACTGCCATAACTACTATTAATTAATTCACTGATTAACGTATTTGACAGAGATATATATCTATCTATACATTAATGAACAAAATTCATAGGTGGAGCGCAATCAGATAGCGCGATTGATGGATTAAAAACGGATACAGAGGAAGAATGTTCGTTTTTGAAGATCGAAAATGTGATTAGTCTCGCGGAATCGGATCCCAATGAAAGTGTTGCTGTATGTAAATGTATCAAATTCTCATTACTCTGACACGTAACTTATTAATCTCCTCATTTCCGTAAACTCATTATCGTGTATGTTTTTTATTTTATTGTTTCTAGATAAATGACATCAGGAAAGCGGTAGAGATATCTCCTATGAAAAGTAAAGAAGTGTCTGTTTTAAGAAAGTCCAACCAACCTTTAATATTGAAGAAGATCTCACCGCAGCAAGTGCTAGTCAATACGAATGTGCAAGGTATGCCCTATCAAGAATTTCTCTATCAATATTCTCGGTGAAATTTACCGGCATATATTTAACATGAAATGTTATTATTCAACGCACATAATTAACATTGAGTTTTTTGTAGCACCGAAGATGCAATTGATGACCACTCCATTGACAAGTCTATCGACTAGCCCATCAACTTTGAATTACAGATCAAGGAAAATCAAAGTAATACGTCTACCTATAGTGATCAATTCCAAAGACACGTCGCCCGCGTCCTTCGCGATCAAGTTGAAATCTATGGAGATGTACGCGACGATGCTGACAGAGCCAAAGCTAGTTCACTTTTACAAGTGCATGGGCTATAATTGCTCTTTCACGACCGACTTCCTTCTGGATTATTATCGACACTATATTAAACATTACGAAGAGACTGACGAGCAGAGTAATGCAAATAATTATAACAAATGTGCCTATTGTTACACATCTATGAATGACTGGTACGAGATGAAAAATCACTTGTTGAGTAAACATCTTCATTGCCGATATCAATGCGGTTACTGCTTTTATCGAGCCATTGTGCCGTTTCATGTACGGCAACATCAGGTAACGATTTATACTGTGTAACTGTGTTATTAAAAGAAGTAAAAATATAATATCTATTAATTTTGTTTTAAGATATTGTGTCATCCCAATACCGTGTTTTATTATTTATTTGACAAGAATCAGAAGCCGATACAGAAACAGGAACAGATTAATCGCCACCCTTATGTACTACCCTTTATATGCAAACATGGTATGTAATTTGTAATAATTATAATTGTAACATTATAAATATATGTTAACTTAATATAACGTATCAATACATTGGATATTACACAATTACATTACTAGCATAATTTCTATCGTTAATTACTTCCAGATTGTGACAAAATATTTTATATACCTGAAGTATTTGTGAAGCACTTAAAGACGAAACATTCATCTTGTCCTAATTTCAAATGTCATGTATGCAACACTATCCATTCTACGATAGAACTTCTTGTATCTGTATGTACTGTACACCTATCTGTACATACTATTAGAAAAATGAAAATAATTATAAATATCACATTTTATTATGATACTTACAGCACTACAAAGTACACGGATTTTGCAAATACCAATGTTTGTATTGTTTTTATGGTTTTGAAACTCCAAACGAAATACATCAGCATTTAAGCACTTTGCATTATGATCGAATGCCTCAGGTTCTGGAACGTACACTTCCTACAGTGGTATTGTTATTAGACTTAATCATTTAATTAAAACAGATTGTGTCTTAATTAATTAAAACACACACACACGACATTATTATCATATCTACTATTTTGATCTTGAATTAGTCCTAGTTTATTATTAAGGTTATTAAGATTATGCATATGTATGTATTTGATATGTCTAAATACATACTTATTTAATGTTTAATTTAAATACATATTTTGAACAATTTTTTAAATATTCTTTTCTTTTTTGACACTATGAAATAACACAAGTATTTTAATAAATAATTTGTTTAATATATTATATGATTGCACTTAATTTCAGCCATCACGCCAGACAGAAGTTATAAATCAACTCATTTTACGAACTTTCGACGATGAAAAAGATGAAGGAAATATTGATTCGAACGCTGACGATTCTAAAAAGAATACATCAGTTTCGTTTAATGTTGGAATGATTTTAAATGAAGCTCAGTCTAATCCACCAAAAAATTTGAAAGGAGATGTTTTGGTTGGGGCAGTCAGTGATCTAAAGAACACGGAAGTTAACGTTCACATTTCCAATATTTCAACAAAACAGTCTGTAGATACGTCTCTCGCCAATATCAACACAAATATAAATAATACATGTGCTGAAAAACAATCTTTGGAAAATGAATCGTTCCAATCGGAGAAGGAAACATTAAGCGATCGCGCCACAAATCAGATTCTTCAAGAACCGAAATTGGATATGCCCGTGAATGATTCCGGTGCAGTTCCGTTAAAAGTCTCAGATGAATTCAATTGCAGCGACGAATTCGTAAATACCAATCTTCTTGATAACGCGGATCTTTTAAAAAAATTTACATCCAATTCCGACAATATGTTTTCTAAATCCGCGGATAAAACTGAAGATAGTGATATCGAGGTTTTGGAAAGCGAAGAGAAAGCCACGCAGAGCAAGACTGAAGTTGAGATAAAGAAAAAGGCAGAACCGATATTTTCCGAGACAAAGGTTGAGAATAAAGAGCAGGCTGCATCCAGCAATATTACCGAAATGAAATGCACAGTCAAAAAGGCGCCAGCACATACTGCTAATGCGGCTGCTCACTCAGACAAACCTTTAACTTTAGATGACATTAAAGATACCGGCCGTGTCGGACACGAGTTATATAAATGCGGTTACCTGTATGAATGCAGTTTTACGGCGCAAAGCTTAATCTTATTGAAATTGCATATGAAGACGTGCAATTTAGGAGACCCTAAACAAAATTTATTTTGTCCGCATTGTAAGAAACGTATCGTCAAAATTTGCTTGTTTCTAGAACATATAAAAACTCACGGATTGAAGCGTTTTGGATGCAGTTTGTGTAAGCTAAGATACTCTGTTCCATATCAAGCTACGGCTCATATGAAGTCAAAACACAAATTTTTCCACACGAAGATAGTGCCTGCCGATCCAACAAACCCAGCGGTCGATGGTCTCTTTACTGTACACGCAGTTGTAAGTCTATTTTTAATATAAAAATGTACAAGTATTATATATAGTTTTTTAATTGTTATATATATATATATATATACTTTTTTTTACTATCTGTTATGTAATTCCTATATATGTAATTTATACAGTCTTACGATGCTGCCGATCGAAGAAACAGGAAACGTAAACGTGCTAACAATAAGTCGGGAACAGAACAGGAAAATGAAAAGAATGTGGATAATGAAAAATTATCGTTTAGTCCCGATGAAATAGAGCAATTACCACGTCAAGCAATTTACAATCGGGAAGTCCAGTGTGCTGTATGTCCTTACACAACCAAAGTTCGGACAAACATCATCCGGCATTTGCAGTTACATGCGAAAGACGAGACTGTACCTGAGAGCGGTCCAGTTAATCCTGTTCCTTGTTTAGATAAGAAGGAGAAGATGTTCGATAAGATGGTGAATCTAGCCAGCAGCTCACACCAAAATGGCCGTATGAGCGCGAAACTGAAAGAATCTATTAAGGAAAACGAGGCGGACGATAGTATACCGAAGTTTGTACCGGAACACAAAAGGTCTGTGTGCGTGCGTGCGTGTGTGATAGTAATTAAAATTGCAACAGCAAAATTAATAAATATTTAAAAATATTGTGGTCTTAAACAATAATATATCTTTTCTATCATAGATATGTATGTGGCGTAGCTGAATGCAATTACTTAACGGTGGACGAGGCAATGTTAAGGTATCACTTAAAGGCCCTACATTCAGAAGAACCATATTTCCGTTGTCCACATTGTCCTACACTGGGTCAAGAGAATCAAAATATAGTGATCGACAAAATGGGCATTCATTTGAAAATGCATGACGCAAGACTCTATAAATGCTCCCATTGTAATCATCATCATTATCATAGGTTTGTATATTTTGTATGGTAATTTTAATTATATATTATATTTAATTTTATTGCACGTGCGTGTGTATGTGTATCTTTATATTTTTTTGATGGTTGATAAAAATTCTAATTTTATATACATATATATATATATATATACACTTGATACAATTTTAAAACATGTGACAAGTATGATTAGTGAACACTTGTTTTATAATAGTGGACACTTGATTATTATAATATTTAATCATTAATGTCAGTAATTAAAATAAACAGATTGCTATTTCCTTGATAAAATTAATACACGAAAAGGAAATATATATATATGTTACTTGTCAGATGTTTTAAGATTTTCTTGTTGGCGCAAGTGCACTTTCTATGCTCTCTGATAGTATTAAAATGACATCCAGGCACGTTGTGGAGCGGCATCTTGCTGATAAGCATCCGGAGAAGAGACCTTTCGTGAAAGTAATAAGGGAAATAGAAAACACGGAGAATGTTCAACAACCAGTCCAGGAAGAGACCGAGGAGGAGGTACCCGATCCGGACGGCAATCATTGGAAATGTAATGTTTGCGATTTTAAATGTGTTTACAAAGCTGACATAGCCACCCATGCTGACTCAGTTCATGGTGAGAGCTCCCAATATAAGTGCACCCTGTGCTCATTTAAAACTAGTGGAAAGATACTTCTCGAGCAACATCTAAACAACAAGCATACAAACGATTCTAACGCCGATTACACCATGATATACCAGAGGATAAAGGGTGTCAATAAACGGAACACCGAAGTCTTAGAGCAAGGCGGGCAGGATGAACCCTTTGATACAACACCACTTTGGAGTAGAAATATGCCACGAATTCGGCATATTCGCGGTATTCTTTTGGAGGAGGAGGAAACAGAAACGACCGCGACGAGTGAAACGTCGCCTGCAACTTCAAAAATATCTGTAGGTAGCAAACGCAAGAGCGACGCAGAAATCGTGACAAAGCCGGCTAAAATAAAAGTGACCGGGAAATCCATATCTCTCGATGAAGATAATAAACTGTCTAAGGAATCAAAATCAAAACGGTCACTTTCATGTGATAAAATATCTGAGGAGGCGGAAGGTGAAGGACATACTATGAAAGAAAGTACACAAAGCAGAGTCATTGGCAACAAATTGGGTAAAGACCCAATGGAACTGATTGACGGTAATGATTCCGATGTAGGAAGGTTTGGACCTTACGGCAAACCGGATGCCAATATGTATGTCTGTACGCTGTGTAATCAATTCAAGACGAAATACAAGCATGACATGAGAGATCACCTTTATAGGGAGTTGAACTATGCTAGGTAAGTGACATGTTATATTGGAGCTGTCGCTAATTTGCTTTTCGATTGTATTCTGGATGTCTTATCATGTTATTAAACATGATATTTTAGCATTATTTTTATCAGCACAGAATACAAATATACATATAATGGCCACAGTGTCAGATGTGCCAATTGGCTACAATTTTTATTCGAATTTACTAATAGACAATTATTGAATTATTAGTTCACTGAAACGTAGGCACTTTCATAAATTAATTTTGCTTTTTGTAAATTCTATTACTAAGCGATATTTTTTAAATGTTTCTGTCCAGATTTCACTGCAAGACTTGCGGATATGTATCGGTGAATCGTAAATCATTACTGCAGCATATTGGAAAACGTCATAATGGAGAAGGCACAAACGAGCCACTTTCGCCGGATAATGCGATTGAAGATTGGGTATATACTTATATTAAAAATAGATTATATTCTCTATTCTATTCTAATAAATAAAAAATTTCAATGACGTTATCAATTAACGTTAATGAGATAAATTAACTATAAATGTGTAGTATATTTTTTATTTTGTATTAAATTTTTTTATTAAATTTTTTATTCTTACATTATTAAATAAACACTACGTATGATTTACAGGTGATGACTTTATTGAAAAAGCAAACGGACATGATCAAGTCGTGGAATAACACGAATGCTGTCTGTAAAAATACACCCTTTAATACAAGCTCTTCAAATTCAGATGTTAGTCCCCTGAAGATCTCAGCCGACAAGAAGTCCGTAAATCTTGCATCTACGATATCCAATCTGCAAAATGACATTCTTAAAGATGCCAATAAAAGCAACATAGACTATGATGACGGAGATAGCCGAGACAATGAGAATCTTGTAATTGATATGAAGGAGGACGAGGTGCATGAGGATAAGAGTAACGAAGACAAATCCGAAAATAATAAACGTAAGTATATACTTAGATTACATTTAAAATTACCTCAGTCTCGTGTGTGTTTTCACGAAATCCATAAGATAAAATACAATATATTTTCTATAATTTTGTACATAGCTTGCGAAAAGACCGCCGATGATGATCTGGAAAAGCCAATTGTCTGCAAGCATTGCCAGATGACATTCACTGGCCAACGTGGATTCAAAATACACGTACAGTATTCACATTTGAAACGGCTCAGCTTCCTGTGTCCCTACTGCGACCGTAGCGCCAACTCGGAGGCGATGATGCGCCAGCACATCCGCGCGAAGCATCCATACGATCTGGAAAAGATTATACACAATCCAAATGCATGGGGAAATGCAAAGCTAAGCAATGAATTCTGGAAGAAGGAGTATGGCCTTTCTCCTCAGAAGACAAAAAAACGGAAATTGAATACAGAGAACAATGTTAACATTACCGCCGCAACCGCTTCCGTTGGTAATCGTTTAGAGAAATGTGAGGTGTGCAACTTTACAGCAGTAAATTACACCGGCTTGAAGAATCACATGAGAACACACTCTCATCAACACAATCTCAAGTGTCTGTATTGCACCTATAGCTGTTCGTATAAAGCAGAAATGGTGGAGCATTGGGAATCAAATCATCCCTCGGTACCGCTGAAATACACGGAACGACTGCCAACCATGCCAACGGCCAATTCTTCCTCCAACGAAACAAAAACCAAACTATCGACGCCTCAAAAACAAGACAATATCGATACATCAAAGAATGAAGAACGCAATTCGTCATCAACTGTAATTTATGGCTGTAACTATTGTAATCTTCGCAGTGTCTCGCTATCATCCATCAAACAACACTGGAATCTCATGCACAAGGATTCGAAGGGTTCAGAAGCTACTCTTGCTGCAAAGTTTCCATTTAGATATAAACAAATACTTGTGTCGAGATTGTCTTCAAGTCCCATGAAGAAGAATGTCATTGAGCGTAAGCAAGTAAAGCAGACAGAAAACCCGTCGCCTGTCATTCAACAGCATGGTTGGGTTTGTCAATGGTGTCAAGAATTTTGTGATACCAACAACGATAGGATAAGGCATCACAACATGTTCCATTCACATTTACCACAAAAGTGGAAGGAGCAACAACAGCAACCAAAGGAACAGGATCAATCAGAGTAAGTATTTGCTTATAGAGAAATACATAAAAAAAAAACGTAAAGTAATAGAATATAAGTGTGAATAAATTTGTTTCTACAAGAAACAATTAAAAACGCATGCAAAATCTATATATTTTAGCACATCAGTATTGTTGCCTGCAAGTGCCGAAAAGTATGCGACAAATTCGAAAAACGTTGCAAGTCACTTCGAGTCAGCCGTAGAGAACTTAATTACGAAGCATGTCAAGCAGACCGAACCTGATGACATGAAGAAGGAGAATGATCAGAGCCGTAATTTGGACACTTCGACATTGAAAGGAAGTGGTCGTCGGGCTGTTGCGAGAAAATCTACTACCAAATCGGCTATCTCTTGCGCGAGACCGGGCCCACGTATATTCAAAGCTGTCGCACGCAAGTCCACGAATTCAAGATATCCGCCAAGTTTTTTTAAGCCACTATCGGAAAAGCATAGTACAAACACGGAATTTGAGAAGGACGAAGTAATACAGAAGAAACTGTCATCGTATTATGGAATACCAAGTAGGCCGATTAATCTGACCGAATTGAATTCATACATGGTGGTCGGGGGTCACACAATGAAGGTAAACTGTCTTACTCTTTCGACACTTATTAATATCAAGCCGAAAGTACTATTGAAAGACATTAAAAAAGATCCTAAATATACCGCAATTCTCTCAAATTTGGATTAATGTTACAATAATTATTCATATGATATATGTACATAGATAGATATAATATATAATTTTAGTGTCGAGATTCAAGATTTTTGCATTAAGAACAATTTAGTATGGATTGTTCTAAAAACTAGTATGTAAGTAGAATTGCAACTGAAACCCCAGTTTTATTATAATCTGTACGTGATGAAACTCATTTGCGATGATAAAAAGTTAAAAAGTATGACAGGAGTATGTCTTAAGCACCGAAAAATCATAATTTAATGTTAATATTAAGTGTACTATTTACTCCTGTGCTTTTTTCATTTCACAAAATATAACCTGTACATATTGAAAGTATAGATACGATCATAGCTGTACATTGAAAGAAGAGGTCAGAATGACTAGTTTATTAGTTACAATGTAATCAGAATGTAAGCAGAATATTTTAATTTAAAATGTCTCATCTCAAGTATGTGTTTGATGTGATACTTTTATGTATGAAAAGGTTGTCTGTTGAGCTCTTGAATTATAGTTAAACTTATAATTACATCACAGATTTACATTGTGAATTGTCGAATGGTTAAATAAAACTATTTTTAATACCTTCCATATAAAATCACAATTATGTTAGCTGATTCATATCTCATTCAATATCGCATCATATTCATTCAGAATGACAGGACAGTTAATATTAAAAAAGTAAAAACATATTTCTCCATTTACACAACATATTCTTTTTATACCATGTAAAAATTTTATTATGCCTTATTTTTATGAAACTAAAGTCGAACATTTTTGTGGAAGTATACTGTATTATTTTAGTAATAAAATCGCACTAAATTCAAGAGTATACAGATATAATTTAACATTAGAATTTAATTATTACATTACATTGTAATCTCCAGCAACCGCACGAATTCTTTTCATTAAATTACTAATGTTAATACATCATAGAAAATAAAATTTTTCTGTGAAAATACAAGACTGACAAACGTCCTATTATTGTATGTGACTTTTTAGAACGTTGTAAATATATGTACCATATAAATAAATATTTTTAATTTTTATAAATTGACCAATATATGTAATCACATAATCGATTAATCGTATATGTAATCATAATTGAATAATCATAATCGATTTTCAAGCATGTCCCTCTCACCTCACCGCCCCGCATGATGCTCGAGCGACATTTGATCTGCGCGCGGGACGGTGAAGTGAGACAGCGGAAGGCGGAGGCGATTCGAAAATCGGCCGAAAGTTGCATACACTTTATGTATGCTCACTTTGTACTAGCACCTTTAATTAATAATATATTAGTTAATTTTCATGGTATTATAATATATTATTATTAGATAAAAAGGTTTAAATTTTTGAGTATCCTTTTTTGAACATGGCTTGAACTTTTCATTTTTATGATATGATTTTGTTCGGGTATTATTTACTTTTTAGAGTACAAATATATCACAAATTATATAAAAAAATGATTTGAAGATATTTTTTATACTATAACGAAAGAGAGTTAAATACGGCGAAAGAGAGGGGTGTGTATGGGGGAGGGGGGTGGCGGGTGGAGAAGGTCCGGTGGGTCGAAGATGGTGGAGGACGGAGGTGCGAATGAAAGGTGAAAGAGGATGGTAAAAAGTTGTAATAACGAAAGAGTGTGAAATATAGCGAAAGGGAGGGGTGGTGGGGGAGGAGGAGGGACGGGTGGGCCAAAGATGGTGGATGTGCAAGTGAAAGGTGAGAGAGGATATTAAAAAGTTTTAATGGCCTTGAATGCAGAAGAAGAAGGAGAAGACGTTTCTTAGGTAATTCTGGAGAAAACGGCCGACCTCATCAATTTTAATGAAACTAGGCTCATTCGATGCGTTTTTGCACGAAACGAAAGAATCTGGCAGAAAAAAGTGTCGCTCTGCCCTACGAACCGAGATATTAAGCGTTAAAGTTGACGACTATTCAGGTTAGGAAATCTGTCATACCGACTACATGTACTTGTTACGAGCAGGGCTGGGTAAAATGCCTTTCGAATTCCATTTAAAATACCAAATATAAAATACTTTTGAAAAGAGTATTTAAAATACAAAATGTAAAATAGATTCTTTTAATCCATTTTAAATATAAAATAGATAAATGGGAATTTTAAATGGTTTTCAAATGCAAAATGGTCTTACTTGGTATACATATTTTTAAGTATTTTATGTTGGAAATTACTTTGCATAATGCTGGAACATCCATTTTTTTAATAAAAATCGATATTTATGGATTTGTAATTAATATCTATTTTATATTACAGTTTAATTCACAATTTATTGGGATAATTATAAAAAATTAAAGAAAATACAAGAAGAAGGAAGTCAATAACAGTCAAAGCTGGATCATAATGCTTATTATAATTATGTGTGAATTT